ACCATCTTCCAACAGTGTTGAAGGGTAAGCCACGTCCCACCTGAACCTCAACACTTTCTAACAAATATTGACATGAAAAAGAACTGAAGAAATTATGAAAATATTCAGTTGATTGTGAACTTACTTTGGTAAGTTTTGAGACTGTACAAATCCTACTGGAAAATGATGGCGTTTTACTCTTCTGTGGCTGTATGACAGTGACCATCTCAGGGCTTCACAAAAATTCGCTCAGAAACAGCTTACAGAGAACCATGCAGTCACCGCGGGGTGGGCCTCATGTGTTCTACCTGACAGAGTTACTATTTAAATGACTGTTCTAAAGCGAATATTTCTCTTACCCTTTTCTATTTCTTTAAACGGCTGCTCATTTACTTTGAAGGCATTAACCCTGTGGCCATTCCCAATTAACTCTTCTGTTTTCTGCTGCTTCCAATCTCGGAAAGGATCCAGTTCATCATCTAGGCTTTAAAGAAAATTCTATCACAGCCTCTGGACAGCATTTAAAGAAGACAAGATTGCCTTTCAAATAGCAGCACAACTGAGAAAAAAGTAACAAGTAAACATTTTTTAAAATGCAAAAGGAAAAATTTTACAGTACCAGTCACATGGGGAGGGTATTGCTGCCAGGTCTAATTTCAGTAAAAGAAGTAATGTTTAAGGTGAGGATGCTGAAGTTAAATGACTGACAGGTAACAACGAGCAGAGGTGAAGCAGAACTAGAATCCCAGGAGTCCTCTCCAAAAAGACCATCTCAAAGTTGCCATTTCTGGAGCAGCACTGTTCTAAAGGGATATGCTGCAAGTCACATAAGATAATTTAAAATTTTCTGGCAGCCACATTTAAAAACATAAAGACACGTGACATTTTAACAACATATTATATTTAAGCCCCTATATCTAAAAGGTTATCATTTTAACATACAATCACTATTAAAAAATGAGATATTTTACATTCTTTTATCCAGCTTTAAAATCTAGTGTGTATTTTACACTTACAGGACATCTCAATTCAGATCAGCCGCATTTCAAGAACTCAACAGACACATGTGGCCTATGGCTACTGTGCTGGGCAGGTCTATAATTCTTGGGATTGTGAAAAAACTGTCCAATGTTATAAAACTTTCATAGTCCAAAATCTTCAAATTATAACTTGGAATTTTACCCAGATCATTTATTTTAAAAATGATAAAACTATCAGTTAAACATAAGAAAATAATTTCCATGAATTCATAATTACCTTCAAGCAATTTTCACTTTCCTTCCTCTATATTCAATTCACCCCATGTCCAAATCTTCACTCCAGACCAATTATGTGACTCTGTACTGCCAAACGCAACAGCAGAAGGAATGACAACAGTGCTAAGGGCACACGTGAGTGCCTTTCTTGGTCCTGAGGGCGGTTCTAAGTGCTAAATGCTCTATGTGGATTAATTCCTTTAATCAGAGGATGAAGCAACTCATATCAATCACAATAATATACATATGTTTAAGGCAGTTGTTTCTTTCCCTCCATAATCATGCCAGTGTTTCAGTTTGTGTTACGTACACCTCTTCAGGGTTTAACATTATTTCAAAATGTGGATCCCTCTTGACACCTAAGCATTTCCTTCTGCCACATATTTCTGACACTTAATAATATTCAACCAAAAACTTAATTTCACCTTAGCTTCTAGTGTTTTGACCTCCTCTTTATCACTGCTGACCCCTTCCCACCTGGCAGCATATCACACATACTTTTCAGGTACCAACACCGCAGGCTGACTTCTTCATCTCTCTCAACCACGTGAAACTCAGTGCTCACCACACCAGGAGACACACAACATAGACTGACCTAAATATTGCTGCCTAACAAACTTGTATTCATTTTTATCCTAGTACTCTTTTTTTCCTTAAAAAAAAAGAAAAAAAAAGTACAGTCTTCATTTGGGTCCTGGATGAATAAACACACAAAAGTAATTTTTCATTTATCATACTGTGTAAATCGCTTTCCATGAAGCCGGCAAACCTCATGCTATGTTTGTGCAGCTATTGAGAGATTCTCAGAGACAGTCACTCGGTCTCTTCAGCTACTCCTCAGGCTCCAGACCGCTTATGCCTTCTCTCAGGGAAAAGCAAACATGCAGGGTCTTTACCTTTCCTCAGTTTTCTGGGATGCTCTGGGATTGGGGGAGCAGGGTGGAGAATAGCACCAGCAAGGACCCAGGGCATCTTACCAACTCTCAGGTCCGCGTTGGAGGGAATCACAGAGGGTTGTTGGGCCCCACGTCCTTTCACCAGAACCACATTTTAATGGTGAACCAACTTTATCTCCACATGAGTAGATATCGAAATCAACTGTTAAAGAAAACAGCAGATGTTACTCATTAAGCTCAGATACTAACATCGTCATTCTAGGTTCCTAAAGGTAAGAGAGCAAAAGTACTTAAGAGATCTCTTATCTCTATGTCTCCCTAATGCAAACTTCCAGAAAACAAGCATCAAATCTTATATTTAAATAGTTAAATAGCACTTTGCTGCTTACAAAATACTCTTTCATCCACTCCTGCAAGGAGGCTGGGAAGCAAGTAGAGAAGATGCCTTTAACTCTAAAGTCTAGGAACCAAAGGACCAGAGATGTTAAGTGAACTTTCCCAAGGAACACAAGCAGAAAGTGAGCGGAAATACTAAAATTCAGGATCCAGCCTTCCTGCCTCATCTCCACATCCCACCACTCCTCAATCGTTCACCACGTTATTTCTTCCCTTTGAGTGTTTTCGAACATTAAATGCTGGATAATCACCCACATCTGATGCAGTTTAAGAACGAATGAGCACCTCCCCAATAAGACGCTGAGAGATATGTCCTAAACACGCGTGGGCGCGGACACCTGGGGCCCCGCTGCCCTACCTGGGGTGCGGGGAGGCCGCCTCTGATGCTCTGCGCGGTCGGACCACCGACGCCCCGGCTGAAAGAGAGCGACAGCCGGAGTGATCTAAAGCTGCCCGACCCTGCCCCAGCCCTGCACAGCCATCCTGGTCCCCTCACCGCCGACCCCGACCCCGCACAGCCGACTCCGTCCCTGCACGGCCAACTCCGTCCCCCCAAAGCCCACCCCAGCCCCGCACAGCCATCCTGGTCCCCTCACCGCCAACCCTGGCCAAGCACATTCGACTCCGTCCCCCTAGAGCCGAACGCCGTCCCGCCACAGCCCAACCCAGACTCATTCGCCTAACAAAGCGCCGGGTCCAAGGACAGAGGCCACCATCCCAGACCCACCAGGCCACGCGCCTGCACCTTCGGCGTGACACCGGCTCCGACACGCCGCTTTGGGAGAGGACCAAGGC